GCTTAGCTTAGTATGAAGACAGGAAATAGCTAGCCAGGCTGGGCCAAAGGTAACAAGTCCACCTACCAGCACCCTACAATTTCACTCTATTTTTTATTTCATCCATGAACAAATACAATGTCTCCTACTGTTTCAACTCTTTTTGGTTAAAGTCTGCTTCACTTTTTCCCCTCAAGATATATTTAAATCAGGAGAATGACATCATTATGGATACTGTACATATTCTGCTATCTGCCAGCACAGTATTACAAAGTGTCATGGGCAAGTCTCCAATAATCCAACTGCACATTTTATTTACAGAACGAACCACAGCTTAACCAGCAACAACAAATATCACCTGCTGTGAATTCAGAAGACTTGACAATAATCCATGACACCACCAACACATCACTCTAAGTACATACACCTCCACCCCCTGCTGTGCAGTATACAATCAGCTATAATTGGGGATGTGGTTTGATGGGGCGACTGCCGCTTGTCAACAGAGATTAGCTGCAGGTGTGCGTCTGTGCGTGTGCGTGTGTGTGTGTGTGTGTGTGTGTGTGTGTGTGTGTGTGTGTGTGTGTGTGTGTGCGTGTGTGTGTGTGTGTGTGTGTGTGTGTAGGTGTGTGTGTGTGTGTGTGTGTGTGTGTGTGTGTGTGTGTGTGTGTGTGTGTGTGTGTGTGTGTGTGTGTGTGTGTGTGTGTGTGTGTGTGTGCAGGGGGGGTTGTTAAAATGGTTGCACCTGAGCACACTGAGGGAGAGCACCTGGATTAAATGTGACACTCTTAGGACACATCGTGTGCACTCACATGAAGGAAGTCTAAATGGAAACAAGGGAAACAAAACACAGACGCACATATTGTGTTCCCTTGTGGCTCCAAAAGAAAATAAACAAATATATCTTCACACTCGTTCATCTTACACTATTTTGCCTGCTAAATGACTCTTGTATGAGGCCAATGCAGACATATGTCACATACTGTTATGTCAGTGTATTTACATAATTCCAATACAGCAATAAGTACAGTGATTGTCACTGTGACCAGATATGACAGCAAATACTATTGTTCTTGACCTGTGAGTGAGGCAATCATCAAATGGAGAATATGATGCATATTAATGTCTGGTTCAGGCTAGCTAGCTGAAACTAAAACACTTTCAGAATAAGAGACCAAAGGCAACCGAGCTGAGGCAGGAAAAAGCTTGAAGTCCAGATGAATCCAACCTCGCCTATCGGTGTCATCTGTTGCTGTCAAAGTGGAGAAAGAAAGGGCAGCTGCTGCTCTTTTATAAGGATCAAAAGGGAGCACCCTGATTGGCTGAGCCCATACATGCAACTTTGCCTCAGTAAATTATGCAGTTCTGAAAGTATGCTATTATAATGTATTGTCCATTGTTACGTTTTTATACCAGGGAAGCCATTTCTAAATTGTCTCCCGAAATACTATCTGTGTTAAGTCAACACTAAAACGTTTCTGTCTTTGTTAAACAATGTGAGTGAGGCATTTATACCGTTTCCTGTCACTGTCTATCCCTCTGGACGTGTACCATCCACTTATCAAACATCTATTGGCACATGTAGTCGTGAAGACTGTGCCCTATGCCAAATACATTATGTAGTTGTTTTTGTATTTTATTCACTTGGACGGTCGGTTTAAACTCTGTTTTTCTCCTTTTATAGCTGTAAAATTGCTACTCAAGTAAATATAACCCGAGCAGCTGTATTCGTATGTGTGCTGTAGTAAAATACAATTATATGTTTGTGAGATGTTTATACCATTTTGTTGACCCCTGTATTTTTCTCTGTGATCTCCCATTTTACGCTTCTTTGCATGCAATCTGTCGTGTACAGACACACAAACACCCCTATGGTCCCTCACACACACCTTTGGTCACACTCACGTTCAGTATGAAACAATAGCAGAGCCTCTGGGTGAGTGTACATGAGTCAACAGCCTTGGCTGCCGGTGGCATTCTCAGTGACTCATATTTCCAGGAAGAAGGATAGAGAGAGAAAGAGAGAAATGAAGTTAAGACCACCGGGATTTATAACATTAATACTTCAAGCAGGCCAATACAAAACCAGTGAGCATTGTGTCAAACTATTACTTGTACTGTATTTTCGCAGGACAGTGGTGGATAAATTCTGAGAATGAATTCAAAGTCAAACTCTTGAAAAACCTGATTTACCAACATTATATCAGACAATTTAAAAGCATTATCTAATCGCTCATGTTGCTTAAAGACATCTTTCTCTTGCACATTACGTTTCTCTTTCCTTTGTCTCGTCTGCGTCTTACTCTCTCTGCTGGAGTTTGTCCCTGAACCCATCACATGTCCTCTTTCTTTGTTCACCATCATAGAATATTGACGGGCACAGCTACCAAACCTCTCTTCCACTCTCTCTCCCTCTCTCCCTCACTCACTGCCTTCACAGGAGGCTCTCAGGACGCAGTATGTGGCTGCCCTCTCCTCACAGTTGTGGAGCCTAAACCGATCGTTTCACCTAACTGAATAATACCAGCATTCACCGCAGACCCACTCCCATTCGCACAGGGTTCCTCTCTCCCTCCAGCCGTTTCATTTTCATCCCTTCCCTTTCTTTATGTCTCCACTTACATCTCCGCCGATCATTAACCCTCCAGTTCTCCCCACCCTCATCTTTTAGTTTAGTTTTTACACCTTCCCTTGCTCCAATATCTCCTTTTTTGTGTGCTTTTATCCCTGGATCCCCTTTGTCTCTCTTATGCTTTTCGTTCCATCTTGTTTCTATACACACACCTTTCCCTTCTATTTGCGCCACCCCCTGTTACTTTCAGGTCATTGTGAGCTGCTGCTACAAAAGAGCCATAAATGCCCTCTCTCTGCCCCCTGCAGTGAACCACAATATAGAGGCCAGACCTGACGTCCGATTGTGTGTGTGTGTGTGTGTGTGTGTGTGTGTGTGTGTGTGTGTGTGTGTGTGTGTGTGTGTGTGTGTGTGTGTGTGTGTGTGTGTGTGTGTGTGTGTGTGTGTGCTCTAACGGTGGGAATGTGAGTGTGTCTGGGCACGTAAGGAAGGAAGGAAGTGTACACGTATGCAAGTGTCACTGGAATTACTAAACTGCAGGTCTGCCTCGACCCTGGTTAAAAAAATAAACAACATGTTCTTCTCATGTGCAGACATTTTTGCAATGCTCCCCGCTGTTTTTGCTCTTTTAACAACAGCAGTGAATATGTTAACTTCCTGTTGGTTGCTTCCAAAGATCGTAACCCTGAAATAGCTGCAATACAGACTCAAGGACATCAGCTGCTGAACATCCAATCCTGTGTAACTCAGTGTGAATGGCACTCACATTTACAATATGAGAAATGAGATCATTCCTGGTGGATACTGATACCAAAATGTTTCTGAGAGTTTTGATGAAACGTTTTTTTGTGGATAGAAACCAACACAACTGCATCATTTTTAAGGAAAACTTGCATTTCGGACCTAAGTGTAACCCTGTGAACTGCGCTTTTGCTGCTAGCTCCAATATACATGACAAGTGCTCGAGGCAGTAGAGGTTATACACCCCTGCTGAAAGCTAACATCCATACAAGGGAGGGGAGGGTGACGGATATGAATGATCAGGCTTATTGATGCTTTGCTCCAAGGACCAGAGTTCACTTAAAATAACTGCCAGCTGCCTCTCATTGTGCCGCTCCAGGGCATTTCATTATTGTCAGGCCTTAAGAGCGACCTCAGTATTAGCGGGAATTCTTCCATTACCAGCATGGACACAAGAGATTCATTTTGGGACGGCAGATCGGAGGTCCATTTCTCTATAAATTGGACTAATACAGGGGCAATGTGATTGTCTGTGAGCGCAATCCAATTATATTACACTGTACACTTTAACTTGGCAGTTTCATTCTGAGTCACTGACAATGGGTGCAGCAGGAGTGAGCATACATTTTGAGTAGAATACAAGAAAACCACTGGCAAAGGTCAAGGTTAAGTCAAGGTCTGTTTTTTTACCCTAAAATATTTGAGGTAGTGAAAAAATAAATATGGGGTAAATCCATCATCCTGCACTTAGATCTATAAACTTCATTCTGCGTTAGATGCAAGACACACAATGAGATAGCATCACATTCTCCCTCAAAAAGGAGAAGAGGGGAGAGGAAAGGAAAGGAAAGGAAAGGAGAGGAGAGGAGGAGAGGAGGAGAGGAGGAGAGGAGGAGAGGGGGCGGCCACTCCAGTGAGATCATGGTCTCATCTGATGTTTGTTCCACTGTAACTCACACATTTTCTTGGAAAAAAATCAATAGATCAATCAATACAAAAGAACAAAATGTCACATTACATATGTAACATTTCATGTTGTCAGTGTTGATTCTTGGCTGCATCAGGAAAGGTGATTTGTTTGTTCCCAAACCTAATGGAGGAGGCCTTCACTAACTTTGTGTGCGTCAGTGCTGTGACAAAAGACGGTGCAGCACCATGGACAGCGTCAACATATTTAACTGCCAATTATGGTAGGTTGCAAAGTAGCCTACACCAGAAAAGGAAATGTTTTGTTATTAAAAAATATATGATTAAATAAATAAATATCTTGTGAGTACATTAAATAATGAACATGTTCCAGGTGTTGCAGACTGTTCCTGAACTACATAAACGCATAAAGCACTGTAATCTGAGCATAACCACACGGTGAACATATTTGCAGAAAAAACGTTGTGTTACAAACAAATAAAGCTGCAAAAGCTAGAAATGAAATGTGTATACAGTAGGCTACGTATCCAAACTGCCGTTTGTTTGGTAACGCTGTTATAAAAGCTGCTGCGAGGTATGTTTAACTTGTTTTTAGAGAACAGTTCACAAAACCTGAAGGTAACAACTGCAGCAGAAAAGCACTTGTCTGATCAGTGAGGCTACAGGTCTAATAAAAGAAACACCTCTGCCTCAACGGTCCGCTCAGCTTTAAACAAAACAAAAAACATTAGGACTTGAAGGTATTAGATCAAAATGTGAAGCGAAAAGAGGCCAAACTTACCTTGACTGACATTAAAAAAGGTGTGTCCAGGATTCACTGAACAAAACAGCCGAGGTTTCGCCTTCTATGAGACACCTGGCCGGTGAACACCATGGAGTTTCAGTATCCTCTGGCCATGAATGGAATCGGTGCACACGGAGGCATTTCGGCGAGAAAAAGCAAGAACGTCGTAGAGATGCTGCGGTGCAAAGCCCGGCTCCCCGAGACAAAATTGGGTTGCGCGTTGCGACTGTGTTCGGTGCGCACTGGTCTCCAATGGACTCACATTTCCAGAAAGCCAAGAACAAAATCAAAAGGCAATTCTCAGAGTGTTTTGAACCAGCCAAGTTTTCTTTGGGGAATCCTAAACGACCATCGCGAAGCGGTAAATGCCAAAGATAACCAATATGCTGAGTTCCACTTTAAGCTGTATGCGCGAAGGAATTTGGGAACACTTTTTTTTTTTAAATGATCGTCAGGTTGACTGAGCACACTGCAAAAAATCCCACGAGAGAAAAATATTTGTCCGATCTAACATGTCTTCTTTTTTTCCATTTTCCAAATTGGCACGATGAACATATCACATCTTCTCAGACAAAAAAGAAAATCAGAGCTCAACTTTGTTATTCCCAGACGTTGTATCCAAAAGGCGTGCCCGTGTTCAACCCCAATTGCAACAGTTAATCACCTGCAGGCTAAAAAAATTAAAAATACAAGAACAATAGTATTTGCTGTCATACCAGTGACAATCACTGTAGCTACTTATTGCTGTATTGGGGGGGGGAAAGTATTTATACGAGGACATGCTCTCCCTCATTCCTCACGATGGAGGTGCAGCCAGCCTCTTCATACAGCCAAAATATCCCACGGAGGTTACAGGGATTG